GTGAGCAAGCACAATGAAGGGGTAACCACAGGGTAACCACTTACCTAAGGACAGGGCTTGATGGATACTCAGAGTGAGACCGGAAGAGAGGTTGGGTCTCCCTCCTATCTAGCAGAGGTCCCTGATAGTACCTGCCACGGAGTGGGAAGCAAGAAGGCAGGCACACAGGACCTATCTTCCTCCCCACTTCCCACAGTCCAAGCTACACACAGACCCTCATATTTGCACAGAATTCACAATGTTCATTTTCTTGTGGAGGCCACCAAAGGAAAGGAAAGACCTGGATTCGGTCACTTAAAAAGCTGGAACCAAAACAAAACACCAAAACAAGCCCACACCCACTTTGGCATAGAACTACATAGGAAAAGTGGAGCCAGAATTGGACCTCATTTTTATGCTTTCCTGTGAGGCACATGACAGGAAGCTGTTCCTGTGCCAAGTCAAGTCTGTACTCCACAAGGAAGACAGGAGGAGGGGTTAGTAGTGCCAGTCTATCCTGAGGAAGCCTACTCCTAGTTGGGTTTTGCTGCCAGAGCTAATGGGAAGCAAAATCCTAAAGAGTTGTAGCAAAGGACTTAGGCACCCAGAGTGACTACCCAGAGGTCACCCAGCCACTGTAAGCAGGTGACTCCATATCTGCCTTCATATCATTTTTTTTTGAAGATGGGGTCTAATATAGCCCAGGCTGGCCTCAAACTTGATATGTAGCTAAGGATGACCTTGAACTTCTGACTCTCCTGCCTACGCCTCAGACTGCTGGGATTGTAGGTATATGCCAGCACACTCGTGTGTGTGTGTGTGTGTGTGTGTGTGTGTGTGTGTGTGTGTGTGTGTAATTTTTAACTTATTATTTCAGAATTTTATACATGTGTATAATGTATTCTGATATCTACTCCTCTGCTTCCCTCCTTAACTCGTCTTAACTCCCCTCCCAACTCCATATCCTCTTTTTATTTATTTTTTACAACTTGCTGAGTCTAATTAGTGCTGCAGGTATCACATGGGTGCAGGACTATCCACTAGAGCATGGGTAACCAAGAGCCACACTCCTAAAGAAAATTGACTCCCTCTCCCCAAGCAGCTGTCACCTGCCAACAGCTCTTCAGGCAGGAGTGAGGCTTGGGAAGCCACTCTCCATACCCGGCTTATGCAATGCTTGGAATCGCACCCAGGGCATTGCTCATGCTAGATGAGTGCTCTAACAACTGAGCTACCTCTGAACCTTCTGTCCTCATAGTTCAAGTTTTTATTTAGGAAGTAATCCAGTAAGGGAAAACAAACAACTTTCCACTCACCACTTTTTATCTAGGAAAAACAATTAACCTACCCCAAATTTGAATGTAGAAGTACAGAGAACCATTGGTCATTATACTGCTATTGGTTCAGGATTTATAGTGTGCTGTTAGCTCATTTCACCTTTTCCAGCACGTCCTAGTTTGCTTTTCTGTTGCTGTGATAAAATGCTGACCAAGGGGCTGGAGAGATGGCTCCATGGTTAAGAGCACTGGCTGCTCTTCCAGAGGTCCTGAGTTCAATTCCCAGCAACCACATGGTGGCTCACAACCATCTGTAACGAGATCTGGCGCCCTCTTCTGGCCTGCAGGCATACATGCAGACAGAACACTGTATACATAATAAATAAATAAATCTTTTTTAAAAAATGCTGACCAAATTCACTTTGGGAAGGAAAGGGTTTATTTGGCTTGAGGTGAGTCAATCAGATCATCAAGGGAGGCCAAGACAGGAACTGAAGTAGAAACCACCGAGGAACGCTGTTTACTGGCTTGTTCCCTCCCCATGGCTTGCTCAGCTTCCTATAGCCCAGGCTCACCTAGCCAGGGATGGTTCCACCCACAGCAGACTGGGCCCTTCATCATCAATTAGCAATTAAGAAAACACCCCAGTAGAAATACCCACAGGCCAAGCTTCTGGAGGCAGTTCCTCAGCTGAGCTTCCCTTATTTCCGGTATGTTTAGGTTTGTGTCGAGTTGACAAAAACTAGCTCTAACTGAACAGTTCTATGACATAGTGGCCCACTGTACCAAAACTACTCTGGAGGTTCTGAGACTTAACCACCTCCCCAAGGACCATAGAGTTCAGCCCTGAGTTTCCTCCAGGTAGATGTAGTCCAACCCAGAGTCATGGGTTTTGAGTTATGATGAAACTATGGATCTTCATTCAAAGTCAAGGTACTCAGAGCAACGCCCTCCAGGTCAAGGAGCTGTTAAAATTGTGGCTTTAATTTTTTTTTTTTTCAATAAGCTTTTGGGACTGGAGAGATGGCTCAGTGGTTAGAGTATGCACTGCCCTTGCAGAGGATCCACAGCTGCATTGCCAGCACTCAGGTGGCTTCCAGCTTCCTGGAACTCCAATTGCAGGGCATCAGACACTCTCTTCTGGCCTCCGTGGGCACGAGGCATGCATAGGTGCATCTAGGCACATGCAGACAGAACACTCATAGACATGAAATAAAAATAAACAAATCTTTTTTTTTTTAAGTTGTTCAGTGCTAGGAAGGTGATACAGAGGTGACCAGGTCAGCAGCAACAAGGGCGAGATGACTGACAAGTGAGTCCAACAGGGAGGCGGGGCTCAGGGAGGCGGGGCTCAGGGAGGCGGGGCTCAGGGAGGCGGGGCTCAGGGAGGCGGGGCTCAGGGAGGTGTTACAAGAGCTGGAAATCTGCGGAAGAAGAGGAAACCATTGAGGGGTGTTTCATTTGGGGACAGTACACCTGGATGTTATGAAACATCTCATTCTGGCTGTTGTGTGGGAAGTGGCTGGAGTACATGAGTGCTTAATGTCCCAACTCATCTTCCCTACCTGGCAATCTATTATGACTCACTTAGCCCTCCTACCAGAGTTATCTAGAGACTCTTTCAAAAATTAAGACTTAAAAACATAATTTTGAGCTAGAGAGACAGCTCAGTGGTTAAGAGAACTGGCTGCTCTTCCAGAGGACCCAGGTTCAATTCCCAGCACCTACATGGTGTCTCACAACCACCTGTAACTCCGGAATTCTAGGGGATCCAATGCCCTCTTCTGCTCCCCTTGGAAACCAGGCATGCACAAGATGCACAGACACAGATGTAAGCAAAACACCCATACAGTTCAAATGAAAATTTTTTAAAAAAGCATGATTTTGTTAATTTAAAATTAATGATGTCTTGCTCACCACCTAAAAGAACTTTACAAAATTCATTCATTCATTTATTAAACACTACTTATTTCCAAAAAGCAAATGGAGGTTGTTTTAAAAAAATGGCTATAAAGCAACAGAACCACTTAGAGTTCTCTTTGGGAAACTGTTTAAAATTTGTTGGAATAACTGTTTTCAGGATCAATTTAAGAATTCAACCGTTTTAAAAGCCCAGTTTGCTCTCAGGGTTCACACTTCTCAGTTCCAGACTAAGGCATCAGATTGGCTTCACTTTTACACACTTTCAAACTTCTCCATCCTCTTTCCCTCCTGATTCTCCCTTGAAAGGTAGGAAGTGCCCTACGCTGCTGCCTGCCACCCCACCCCTTCACCCCCTACATCTGGGACTGAGCAGAGAGGAAGGATTGGAGTATCTGAAACGCTCCTTTCTCAGCAGCTCCAATTCTGTTAGGAGGAAAACTGAGAAACTTCCATTCTTCCTTGGTGTGCATTTTAAGACTCTGGTTATCTAACCAAACTTATCAGTTACAAAACTTCATCACCCTTTTTCAAAATGGAGAAAATAAAGCATGGATTTTTTAAACATTAAACAAAAACTTTTGTTCCTATTACTCTCCCTGTGCTCACCACATTCACAGCCTCCAGAACCGCACGCCCGGCCAGCACAAGGAGCAAAAATCCACACGACTTGCAGCAGATTATTAAGAAGAGACCTGGCAGAAAGGCTGAGGAATTTTTAAGGATTTGGTGATGGAAAACAGAGCCGCCTCAGTTCTTTGCTTGTTTTTTGGCTCTTGGTGTTTGTTTCAAATTATCATGTTGCCTCCAACTACAAACTGCTTATGTAATTTAGTATGCAAGAAGAGAATTGTTCAAGGAATGTTCATTTGAGCAAATGGACTTAGGTTTGTAGCTAGACTTGTAAACCGAACTTTCCGGGTATTCTTAAAAGACAAACGTTAGTCAACCAGATTAAAGATCAAAAGGGACAAAACCACATTCTGAATGGAAACTGATCCTTTTAGGGCAGGGGCAATACCTGAAATGTGCTGACTTAGCAGTGCTGCATCCAACCCTCTCACTTCTCTTTCTTTAGGTAAAGCCTGGTTTATTTATTTTTTTTTTTCTAGCCACTTCACAGAGTGCCTCAGTATCATCTGTTGGAGAAACCTGCCGTACTTGTTTGCGCTTATCAATCCATTGTGTCATATTGAAGCGCGTGTGAGAACACTTAAGCAGGTCCGAGATGAACTCAGAAGCCACCCAAACACACCGGATTCTGCTCCACAGTAATAGCGGTGAAAGGATTGTGTCGTCCCCCTCTGCTTTTTTTCCCAGGCCTCTGCACTCACAGGGTGTCCCTGCCTAGGAGGGCCAATACAACACAATGCTCACCAGAGCCCAGGGGAGAAGCCAGACCCAGTCTTGCCCAGGCGGGACACCCAGCCTCGGTCCAACGCTACACGCGAACCGCGACACCCAACTCTTGCAGCCGCTCACTGGTTCGCGGCGTGGGATTGCCTTAGAAGCCCTGATCTGTGACCCGCAGAAATCCCGCCAAAGCGCGGCCAGGCCACCAGACAGTGTTGAGGGCAGAAAGTTCCTGGCGCATGCCATACCAGACCTGAGGGCTGCATTCCACACAGGCTCTAACTTAGGTGCTCCCAAAGCGCTCCGCTGGGCTTGCTGTCCTCCTCTGTGGTGTCGAGGAGCCCTTGGTGCCCACCGGTGCCGGTTCCACTAAGACGTGCACCCCATGATCCGGCTGCGGATCCCCCAGAACCCCCGAGGGCTAGCTAGAGTTAGCATCAAGACCTTCGAGACTTCGCAGCCGGCACTCACCTCTCCAGGGCGCGGGTAGCAGCAGCAGCCCCAGCAGCAGTGAGGCCAGAACCATGGCGGAGCCACGGATCTGGAAGTTCTCTCCGGACAGATGCACGGACCCACCAACGTCCTGAACTCGCCGGTGGCCGCCCGAGCGCGCTGGCGTAGCGCCGCAGTCCCTGCTGCCCCGGCGGCAGGCGCCGAAGTGGCAGCGCCGAGCGGTGGATCGCAGGCGTCGTAAGTTAGAAGACGGAGGCGGGCCCGGAGCTCAGGCCCGGGCGGGGCCGGCAGGTTGGTGTGGGCAGGGGGCGGGAAGGAGGCAGGGCAAAGAGAAGAGAAGGAGGGAACTGGAGGAGGGGGCGGACCCAGGGCCGAGCGCTAGGGAGGATGGAGGGGCGGGGCAGACATGAATGGAGCTAGGGTCAGTCCCAACAGGTTACCCTGGCCTTGAGGGTGTGGGAAGACGAGAAGGGAGGTGCTGGAGGAGTGGGAAAAGGAGCTAGTGGAGAGCAAACAAGGGCCACTACCTTGGGCTAAAAGGACGGAGAGACCGAGAGGAAGTGGAGGGTGCTAAGAAAGAGCATGATCGGGAGGGGAAAGGGTCCCCGTCCCCCCCACCCCCACCCGCAACCTCGGAGTCTCACTTTGTAGGAGTAGGTAGGAGAGCTTGGAAACAGGAGAGGGAGAGTTCAATGGAGTGCATAGGATGCAGCCCCCAGGACTTTGAGGGGTAGTGGGTCCAGCTGCCTTGGGATGGCAGCGACCCTGCAGTCCAGGCTTTACTGGCTTGAGAGGCCCCAGCAGCAGCGCTCCAGAGGCTGTGGCCACAGTGGCAGCACATCCTGCTGAGCCGGATCGTCCTCCAGGCTACTGAATCCGAGGAGCAAGAGCGGACCCTGGCGTCAGGAGCTTGCAGCCTACACCAGAGAGGCTCGCTGGGGAGAACTAAGTCTATCCCGTAAGAAGTCTAAGAGAGAGAAGCTGGGGCATGAGTGGGGATTAAAGCGTGCCGAGCAGGGGTGGAAAGGGTGGAAGGTCCCAGACAGCAGCAGCCGGTTGTGAATTCTGTTGTGAATCACAAAGAAACGGAAGGTACTTTTTCTAGCGACCACAGTGAGTGAGACCTTGCAGTTTGTACAATGCTTTCTGAAAGGAAATGGAATGACTTGTTTTCTTTTGCGATGAGGCTGCTTTAGAGCCTAAACTACCCTAATGAATTTAGAGCACTTATTACTGAAACTACAGGCAGGCACACATGCACTGTGATACAATCAGCTCCTGGTATCTCTAGCCCTGCAGGAAGACACCAAACCAGAAAGACACGATTAAACAGACCCTTGATTGGTGATGGATGTAAAAGAGTCCAGTTTACTGCCATCCCTGGGTAGATAGTCCTGGGATGTGTAAGAAAGCAAACCAAGCAAGCCAGGAAACAGCGTTCCTCCATGGTCTCTGCTTCAGTTTTTGCCTCTAGGTTCCTGCACTGAATCTTGGCCCTGACTTCCCTTCATGATGGACTACAACTGTAAGCTGAAATAAATTTTTTTCTTCCCAAGTTGCTTTTGGTCACAATGTTGATCGCAGCAGTAGAAACCGACCTAGGACAGACAGGGCCTTGCTGTTACTCAGGCTGGATTTGAACTCCTGGCTCCAGCAAACACTCTAGCCTTCTGAGTAGCTAGAACTACATGAGCATGCCACTATGCCTTGCTTAAATCTCACCTTATTTTCTTTTAAAGACAAGGTCTCACCATGTAGCCCTAGTGGGCAAGGGACTCACTATATAAACTTCACAGAGTTCCAACTGCTCTGTCTTCCAGGTGCTAGAATTAAAGGTGTGTGCCTCTGTGTTCAGCACAAATCTGACTTTCTTTTTTCTTTTTTTCATTTATTTATTTTGTTTTATGTGTGTGGGTGTTTTGACTGCATGTTGTGTATGCCTGGTACCTGTGGAGGTTAGAAGAGGGTATTGGATCTCCTGGAATGTAGTAACAGATAGTTGTGAGCCATTAGATGTTCCCCTGCAAGAGCAACAAATGCTTTTAACCACTGAGCCAACTTCCCAGCTCCAAATCTTTGTTAATGAGACCTGCCTTATACAGTAAGTTTTACAGGTTTCCACAAATGTAGTGGAAATGAAGCATTGGCCAGTTCATTAGGTCCATGGATTTGGACAGCAGAAATAGATTATCTTTTCTGGGTGGTCTCTGTCTTCAACCTTCCAGTGGCTAGTACCTAGAATGACCTCAGAGACACAGAACCTGGGAGTCTGTGGCCTGGCTTTGCACATCAGCATTACTGGAACACAGCTGTTCATATAGATACCGACTATGATTTTGTGCTGAAGCAGTGGAGTTGAGTAGTTGTAACAGAGAGTATATGCTTCACAAAGCCATATAATCCAGCTCTTTACAATGTCTGCCAAGTCCTGGTCTAAAGGTTAGTTCATGTCATAGCTGCTGCCTGCACTGGCATGCTCTGGAGACAAGGGCTTTGGACCAAAGGATCTAGACAAGCTTAAAGAAAGTCTGGTATGGGAGCTCAGAGCTCCAGGAATGAGCAACCCAGTGAGCAGGGTAGAGGCTGCATGGCTCTGAGTGACCCAGCCACAGAGGCTAAGTGGCCTTCGTGGAGAGCAGCCACAGACCCAAAATTCTTCATGACAGATGTGTCAAAGAGCTTTGTAGCTATGTTTAAAAACCTCCATAGGCTGGAGAGATGGCTCAGTGGTTAAGAGCACTGACTGCTCTTCCAGAGGTCCTGAGTTCAATTCCCAGCAACTACATGGTAGCTCACAACCACTTGTAATGAGATCTGGTGCCCTCTTCTGGCCTGCAGGGACACATGCAGGCAGAATACTATGTATGTAATAGATAAATAAATCTTTATAAAAAATAAAAACCTCTGTAAGCATGCAAGACAAGCTCTAAAAGGCAAGATGTCCATCCTATAGTATTAATTTCATACTTACCAAATATCCAACTTGTTACCAAAATATGTGAAGAGAAATGTGAGACAAAATAGAATTAGACTCCATATTCTTATACCTATTTCTGTGTTTGTAGAATGCCCAGTGGGCAACATTTAAGCAATTTCAGCAGGGCAACAATGACCTGGAGCCCATGATTCAACGACCCTATGTAGCTTAGAGCCTTAGATCTACTGTTAATTAACTAGCCAAAGGAGAGAATATTCAGGGCCTGTAGCATTGTTTATCCAGGACCAGAGAAAATAATTTCTACTGATTGTAGAAGGCGATAACCAGTATAAAATGTAGTCATGATCTGTGTACTAAGTATGTTTAACGCGTCAGTGACATGGCTGAAGACTTTCTTTCTTTCTTTTTTTTTTTTAAGATTTATTTATTTATTATGTATACAGTGTTCAGCCTGCATGCCAGAAGAGGGCACCAGATCTCATTTTAGATTGTTGTGAGCCATCCTGTGGTTGCTGGGAATTGAACTCAGGACCTCTGGAAGAACAGCCAGTGCTCCTAATCTCTGAGCCATCTCTCCAGCCCCGCTGAAGACTTTCAGTCAAAGGCCCCAATGGGATTATGCCAGACCATTCATGAGAGTTAGTTAAGGCATCCTTCAGTGAATGACAGCCCTCCCCCTTTTGAGACAGGGTCTCCTGCATCAAATTTGCTGTATAGCTAAGGATGACCTTGAACTTCAGATCCTTCGGCCTCACTTCTCTAGTGCTAGGATTACAGATGTAGCCACTATACCTGGCTTTGTGTGCTGAGGATCAAACCCAGGGCTTTTTGCACTTATTGGGCAAGCACTCTGAGCTACATCCCTGGCCCCATGACCTTTTTCTCAACCCGAATCCTGCTCTTTGTCCTAACCACTGCCTTCTGCTCTTTTCAGCATGGTTCTGAGTGGTGACCTATAACCTACTTCTGCTTCTGTTCCACCATGCGTTCCCTCCCCCAATGCTGCACCCTCCTCAGCTAATCTCCTCCTCCACGGTGACAAGCTGATTGTCTGCACTGATGGAGATCTAGACATCAGATTGGCCCCAGGATGCTCTGCACATCACCATGTGGCATGAAATGACCTTAATCTAATTTCAGTGCTAGAGAGCCATTTGTTCATTTACATAAATGGACCAATACCTGCTCCATTTCAGGTATAAACAGATGCTGAGGAAGTGTTGCTGAGACAATGCATGGCTTCTCCAGCAAGGAGGCTTTATCTCATGGAACCTAGTGCCAGTTAGAGCCTGGACCACTCTGGCTCCATCCAGAATCCATACTATAACCCTTCAGTAACTGCTTCCAGGTTTTTCTTTGATAAATCATACCACCTACACTCACATTCCTAATGTCCTTGAGTCTGAGAGGTGGGATTTTCCTTGCTACCTTCAGATCATCCAAAGATCATCCCTCTTCTCCAAAGTTTCTGACCATAAACTTTATGTCAACAGAGTATTCCAAGGGGGATAGAAAAGGGTAACAGAAGGTGAATATGATAAAAATATATTATGTGCATATGTAATGGGTTCATAATAAACCCTTTATTGCATATAAGTAATGTATGCTAATAACATATTAGAAAATGAATTAATTAACAAGACTATAATCAGCCCTGATTGTTACATTTGTCTATAGACATCTGGGTCTCCCCCTCATCCCTAGAAAGTTTCATTCATTATAGCTACTTCCTTCACACTACCCATAAATAACTCTTGGTGGTTTCAGTACCACACTGGAGATGTAAATGACAGGTTCTTGAAGTTTGCTGGGGAACTAGGATGATGCCCATAAGAGAGTCCACTCGGAATGCCAAAAGTCATGAGGGAAGGATAACATCTTGGAGTTTCTTGGGAGGGCCAAATAGTGCCTAGAAGAGACTAGTCAATGTGCTCAACACCATGCTGAGAGTATGGTGCATGCCACCTGGGGGAGTAGGTTTCAGCTACTGTAATTCATTTGGAACTGTCTTAGTTAGGGTAACTATTGCCGTGATGAAACACTATGACCAAAGCAACTTAGGGAGGGAGGGGCTTAATCAGCTTACACTTCCACATCACTGTTCATCCTCAAAGGAAGTCAGCACAGGAACTCAAACAAGGCAGGAACCTGGACACAGGAGCTGATGCAGAGGCCATGGAGGAGTACTGCTTACTCAGCCTGCTTTCTTCTTCTTCTTCTTCTTCTTCTTCTTCTTCTTCTTCTTCTTCTTCTTCTTCTTCTTCTTCTTCTTCTCCTCCTCCTCCTCCTCCTCCTCCTCCTCCTCCTCCTC